CCCCAAAACCCCAAAACCCCAAAACCCCAAATACCTTCAACCCTAAAATATTTCGATCTAATCTCTGATCTATTACTAAACCTACCCATTTAAAGAACTTAACTGTCCGTGAGCAGGCAGAGGTTTCATTGAGGATAGGATTGTTTTGTTGTGCGGTAGGATCCCTGATGAGTTATCCTGCAGGTGTAGTGAGAAGGATGAAGAGTGGTGGGAAGATTTTTGAGAGCTTTTTAGCAGGCTGGTAGGTTTAGGTTTCTTGGGCTTCTTTCTAAAGACAGGTTTTCTTTGGTGTGAGTCAGCAACTGATTTTCGAGGGGATATTTGGGTGTTGAACAAAAATGGATCTACCTGGTTTAGCAGACTTAAGTCAACTTCTGATAAAGGTTTGTGCTTATATGTGTTTATCAACATATTCACTGACTCTTTGAAATTTGCTGAAGATTCTTGAGAGCTTGTCCGAGGAATTTTTAAGAAGCTAGGAGATGTTTCCTTAGCTCATTCGATGTTTCTTAAATTGCTGTAATCACAGAGAATACGCTGTTGAGTCGTGAGAATAGCTCTGAACAACGTCTCTTGCTGATGAATGGCAGAGATCAGACGTGTTACATTCATTTCAGACGAGTACTGTTTGAATCCTTCTGAATAAATTTGGTATTGCGAGTATTTATTTTTGCATAATTTATTTGGACTTGAAAGGCCAAAATATATTGTAAAGTCAATCTTTATAGCTGAACCCTAACCTTCTAGTTTGCTTGAGCTTCTGGTGAAGAATCCTAAACTTTTCATGCTTTGGAATGTCGTTTCTCAAATTTGCAGGAGATTCATTGTTGTCTTGTGAGCTCCCTCCTTCGACTTCTTCGCTATCAAATTTTTGGTTCTCAGGATATAGATTTTTCCTGATTCTTGGACTTTGCTCTTGATTTTCTAGAATTTGTTCGGCAGAGTTGATTCTCTGATGATCAGAAAGCGACTCGACTTGAGGTTCACCTATACTGTTGTCGGCTTTTGTATCATAAACTGTGTATCATTTTGACAATACCGAGTGGTACATCATGTTTCTTGAGTAAAAAAGTATTCATACTCCAACAATATGATTCAATAAACTGTAAAATCCTCCAAAGCTAGCCACCACTTCAAGAATTGTGAATACCTGTCTATTATAGTAGTTGACTCTGGGGTCTAGAAACACCTCGAATGTTGCAAGTTCTGATGAGCTAGAATCTTGAAACCTCTGAGTTTTGCCTGCACTAGTGGTATAGAACGTGCTGTATTCCTTGCCACTGAGCATAAAGTAGTCATCGTGTCTGGACAGTTCATTCTTGGTCAAGAATATTTCTGCTTGGTGCACAAAGTTAGCCTGAACCGTGTAAAAATATTCTTGTGTTAAGTATGTTTGCACTGGATTAGAAATGCTGTTAAGGTCGAAGTAACTATCGATCATCAGCACTTCAAGTTCTCTGAGTAATGCGTCAGCATTGATTTCAGAATCAGTCTTGCAGTCAGCTGTCTTGGTTGAGTTTCATTTGCTTAGCGATATTCCGATAGACTTTCTGACTTGAGAGTATCTGTTGCCTGAAACTGAAAAGTCTTTATTTTTAATTCAGACATATTGGTTAATTTTAAAATCTTCGACCAAGCTTGCTTTACTGTACGGAAAATCTGAACCTCATTTCTGGAGCTCCAGAGGAAGCAGCTGTTCTGTGATTACTCCACCTTTGTTTGTTACAATTTTCTGGACTACTTCAAGTTCATACAGCTGCTGGTAAATTGGGTCTAACAAACTTGTGGTGTCACCTCTGAACCCAATAGCAATATCAAATCCGAATCGACCTGGAAACTCATCTTCATGATCGTTGGTCAGGTCTCTGACAATTGAGTGAAATGTATAATTGAGTTTGCTACGCTCAAACATCACTTTCAGTAATTGGACAGAAAACAGCACAGAAATAGCCACAATAATCAGACTTCAGATACCCCCAACAATGGTTTTAAATCTCGTATTATTCTCATAAAACATTTGGATGGGAGATCCGAAGACATCGAGACTTTTGACAAACTCGGTTGTTTTAGTTCAGCATTTCGAAATCCAAAATGGTTGTTTCTTCATCAATATTATTTAAATATTATAATCTCCCTCCAAGATATTCAAAATATTTTCTCCTATACGGGGTTTTGGGGTTTTGGGGTTTTGGGGTTTTGGGG